TGTGCCCACGATGGCTGCTCCTGGTGTCCCATGTCCCTGGAGGAGATGATTAATGGCTTTGTGTTGTATTTAGGTCTATCCTGGAGCAGATAGATTTTCTTTTCAGATAAAGAGGATGCGAGGCCCTTCCTGGGCTATGGGTCTTGGCCCACTCCTCCTCCCAGTTGGCAGGCTGTGTCAGAGAGCTCCGAAAGGAAAATGAATTGATAAGATGGAAAGGCGGGGGTGGCTGTATCGTCGGTGGCCCTTGTAAACAGTGTAAAGTCACCTTGTGTGCTAGGACTAATGACGCCTGAGCAAGGACATGCACCCCTGTGGCATGTGGGGAGCATCAGGGCCTACCTCCCTCTGCCTGTGTCTTCCTGTAATGACACACTCCGCTCTGTCTCACAGTAAGTGCAAGACGTTGGAACCTCAGTTTCTTCTGTAAAAGAGGATGATGTTGAGGGCAATTTGTGCCCACCCCCCTCGCAAATTACATTGACCTAACTCACAGCACTGAGGGTGTGACCTTGTTTCATGTTAAGATGAGGTCACATGGCTGATTAGAAAAAGGGAAATTTTAGACTCAAATCGATGGGCACATAGGACAATGGCTTGTGTGGCTGCATCACTAGCTGAAGAATGCCACAGATGGCTGGAGAGCCACTGGAAGATAGGGAGTGGACTTGGAAGAGGTGCCCCTCGTGCCCTCAGAAGGACCCAACTCTGCCAACACTCTGATCCTGGACTTGGAGCTTTCAGAAGCTAGAGAGAGCCAATGCACAGCTCTTGAGCTAAGCCACACAGCTTCTGGTAGGTTGCTATGGATCCCTTGCGTGCTCATAGAGATGAAAAGTGGTCCTTCCTGTGGGGGTGTGGAGGGTGCAACAAGGAATGCCACCTGAAGCTGCGACTATACAACAGCTGTTGACAGAGGCTTATCTCAGACACAGGAGCCAAGAATTGGAGTGCAGGTGGATAGAGGGCCAGGCAGATCACGTTAACCAAAAAGTGTTTCAGACTAGCTAGCCACCCCGACACACAGAGTTAAGGGGTCAGGTGGGTCCATGTGCTGTGTGTTTCTTTGCATATTAAATATTCAGATAAGGCAAATCCAGAGACAGAAATGGCCAGTGATGGCCAGTGACTGGGATCACCAAAATATACAGTTTGCCTATGCAAAATAAAGTTCTCTTGGTTAAGCCACTCAGTTTATTCTAGAACTTCATATGTAAGAGATAATTGGGCAACAAGTAAATGCATTTAGTACCACTCACCCATATGCTTGAAAATGGTGAATTTTATATCATATAAAAAAAAGTATATTGTGGCTGAGCATTTGGTGATTTATGCCTGTAATCCTAGCTACTCGGGAAGCTAAAATCTGAGGATTGTAGTTCAGAGTCAGCCCAGGCAGGAAAGTCATTGGAGACTCTTACCTCCAATGAACAGGCAAAAAGCCAGAAGTGGAGCTGTGGCTAAAGTAAGTGGTAGAGTGCTAGTCTTGAGCGCAAAAGTTCATGGACAGCTCCCAGGTCCTGATATAAAGCCCCATGACCAGTGCACGCGCACGTGTGCACACACACACACATATACATACACATACACATGCACATGCACACACGCACACACACACACACACACACACACACACACACACACACACACGGTGCATTATAAACTGAAAGCAAAACAGTTTTCCCTTAAAAGGGAAGGTATAAATTGATTCAGCCTGGTGCTAACAAGCTTCACCTTTGAAGGAAGAGGCGGAGCTCTTGATCTCATGGAGTGAGGGGTAGGTAATCGGGGTAATAGTGATATTTGGATCACTTGTTTTATTTATTTATTTATTTTTTGGTCGGTTGCTGGGCTTGGGCGCTGTCCTTCAGCGATTCAGCTCAAGGAGAGTGCTCTACCGCTTGAGCCACAGAGCCACTTCCTCACTTGTTTTAATAGGCAGGTTCTGGCCAAATGCTGAGGGGAAAGCTCAAGGTGGTATGCTCAACTCTCCTGGGAGGCCAGGATACTCAAGGTGGGTGGAAGCATCCCCGGCTAAGGGCTGGGGCGGGGAGGGAGGGTAGGAGCGCAGTGAAGCCAGCTGTCCGTGTGGCAGGCATGGCCAGAGGGAAAATCCATGGTCCTCTGGGCTTTCCTGTGCTTCTCTTCATCTGCCTGTGTTCTCATCCACTGAAACTCCAAAAATCCCTACAGGGCTTCTCGTCTGACCTCTGACCTCTAACCTCTGGGCAGACTGTCCAGATGGGAGCATTTTGTCACCAGAGCTAGCAAAAGGGGGGGGGGGGGATAGAGACACCTCCAGAGTGAGCCCTTAGAGGTGGGGCCTGCCAAAAAAAACCAGGAGCATTTCTGGAGGGCACTGGTGCTGGGCACTGCCCTGAGCTCCTGGCGTTGAACCGGTCGACTGATTCAGAGGTCAGCTTGGAGATTAAAAAGCTGAAACCTAGGTCCCACAAGGGCTTTCTAAACAAATGCTTTCTAGGAGTGTGAGTGTGTGTGTGTTCCTGTGTTCAACCTGGGCACATAGCATTTGCACAGGGAGAGGAGGGGTGCTGTACTCATGTCTGGAGTAGCCCCAGAGACAGCCACCAGGATTAAGACCCACACAGGCCTCCCGCCATATACCAGTGAGGGGTCTGTGAGGAGCCAAACAGGCCCAGCTGGAGGCTGTGAGGAGAAAGCCCTCTTAAAGGGGAAGCCTCTATCTGAATTAAAAGAGAGCTTTTATCAAGGAAAGAGGGGGTGGGGGCGTGAACAAACATGTGCCAAGTGCCTCTAATCTGGTCTTCAGCATGAGTCCCTCCCAAGCTCCAAGGACTAACTGCCTTTCCAGCAGTTATACTGGCTGTTAACCCTACATGTGGCCAGGTCTGGTTCAAAGAGAGGGCTTGGGGCTGGGAAGGTGGCTCAGTGGTAGAGTGCTTGCCTCGCATGCATGAGTCCCTGGGTTCAATTCCTAAGCACCACATAAGCAGAAAAAGCTGGAAGTGGCGCTGTGGCTCAAGTGGTAGAGTATTGGCCTTGAGCTGAAGAGTTTAGGGACAGCACCAGGCCCAGAGTTCAGGCCTCACGACCGACAAAAAAAAAAAAAAAAAAGAGACCAAGCCACACTGGCTTGATCCCCAGAAGCATGGTGGTTTTTGGTACTATGGGTAAATGCCTATATCTGCTCAAAGCCTCATTGTCAGTTCACCTCTTTAGGTGGCACTCTGCTAGGAGGCCTCTTAATCCAAAAGAGTGACTCAAATGAAATTATCTTATGCAGCACTCATTTACATATCCATTCATCCATCCATCCCTCCATTTTCCCAGTGCACACTCAGGAAGGTCTCTTTAAGTGTCAGGTGTTATGGCAGCTGTGGGGAATGCAAGGTGAATTTGGCACCAAGTCTTTGATTCCAGTGGTAACCACTAGGGGAATACAAGAGGTTTCTGACATAACATTTTTGAGTACCACCCATTCTCATGCTCCCCTGGAGAATAAAGGATTGGTCCTAACATGAAGAGGAGAGTTCCTTTTAGTTGTTAAAAATTTATGATCCAGGGCTGGGAAGGTGGCTCAGTGGTAGAGCGCTTGCCTTGCATGCCTAAGGCCCTGGGTTCGATTCCTCAGCACCACATAAGCAAAAAGAAAAAAGCCGGAAGTGGTGCTGTGGCTCAAGTGGTAGAGCACTAGCCTTGAGCTGAAGAGCTGAGGGACAGCGCCCAGGCCCAGAGTTCAGGCCCCATGACTGGACCCCAAAAAAAATTCATGATCAAAAAGGACAAGAGGGGGAACCAATGCAACAGTAATTCACACAAGACAAAATGTTGGAAATGATCTGCACAACTTGGGGGTGGGAGAGAGGGAAAGTAGGAGAAAAATAAGGGAAGGGGTAACAAGTTTGACAAGAGATGTACTTATTACCTTACATATGTAACTGTAACCCCTCTGTACATCACCTTGACAATAAAAATAAAAAGATGATCAAGACTTTGTAATGATTATAAAGTGCCTGTTCCTTCCACGCCAGCAAGAGGCTGGCCCCACCACCCCCCTTGAAGGAGCATGTCACTTGGAACCCTGTCTAAATGAGCACACTGAGGTCACCCAGAAAACTAAGGCAGATGGCCCTGTGTGGTCCAGCAAGTGGGAGCCTCGGGGTAATGGCTCCTTATCTGGATTGTTGTTGGTCAGCCACACTGTGGTCCTTTCTCTCTCATCCTCTGGAAGCTTCATGCTCTGGCTCAGCTCCCACAGCGGGACTTGCTTGCCCCAGGATGGCTGCCCTAACTTGACAGAAACTGGAACAGGCAATGTGCCGTAGAGACCCTCCGTCTCCTAAAGAGTGGGGATCGTTTTCCAAAAGAAATCTTTGCAGAGAGCTTCATCTCCTAGGAAATCCATCTAGAAAAACCAGAGGCCGTGGCGACAGCTCCACAGCTTTGGACTGTGGGCAGCTCTTCCCTGAGAATGCCATCTGTGTTTTCAAAGGCCTCTGCCTGCGTCTTCACCTGCCTCTTCTTCCTACCACCCAGGTGCCTTCTTCCTGACCCCCAACGAGCCCTCTGGCCCTGAGCTAGGAAACCTCTGCTCCATACCTCTGCCTCCGCCCCCCCGCCCCCCCCCCACATACTCCCAATTTGGCAGGATGGATGGAAACTTTCGTGGAAAGCACTTGAGCTGACATGCTCCTAACTCAGGCCTTTGACTCAGGTCCTGGCAGGGCCAGGGCTCAGGATCCAGGGGGGCTGGCCCTCATGGGGTCAGAGCCTCCTGCAGAGCTCCTCCCTCCCTCTGGGCAGCCCATCACTCACCAGCTCTCCTGTGACCCCAAGTAAGGCTGCACCAGGAGAGAAGCCATTGTCTTTCACTCCACCCCCCCCACACACACACATACCCAGCCCCGATCCTCCCCCCACCCCCAGGGGAATGTCACTCCCTCCTTTCCTCTGCCCGTCCCCCTTCGTGGCTGTGGAGTCTGCATGGAACTCCACGAGGTGGGCAGTCCAGAGCCTTCTGCTGCTCTGTTTAAGATCTGGTTATGATTGTGGGATTTTTTTTTTTGTCAGCTGCCTGTTATATCAATCACGGAGTCGGGATCTATTTATAGGTTGGGAGTACTGTGTCCTTAGTCACAAAGAGACACAGACAGGGGACTGTCAGCTGGTGCTGGAGGAGCCGAACCACTAGTCATCGGCCACTGGGACACCTGAGGGTGACTTCCGCAGCGCCCCGTCCTCCAGCCAGCCTAAGCATGTAAGTAATGCAACTTCTCCCTTCCCTCCGCCCCAGACCGCCCTGCGCCTTGCTGTCCTCCTCTCCCTCCCTCTCCCTCTCCCTCTCCCTCTCTCACTCTCTCTCTCTGATAAAAATATCTCCTCATGCCTGCTCTTTCATCCCGGTTTTCCATCCACTAAAGCACCCCTGCGTGGCGTGGGGAGGAAAATGTTGCCCCTTTCAGACAGTCACGGAAGGTCAGAGGGTGTCAGAATGGCTGGTGGGCCGGTTCCACACACTCATTTGGAAGCTATAGGCTCCCTTTTATTTGTATTTGTTTTCGCAGAGAGAAAGTAAGTAAATCAAAAGGGCAAGGGAAGTCTACACGCGGCTCAGCGGGGTGGTTATGTCTCCCAGCGTGAAAACTTTTCTTTGTCGGCAGCTCTAGCTTTTGGTGAGCTTGGGTAGGTGATGGAGGGGGAAGACTGGGGGTTCTCGGGGACAGGTGGTGATGAACGGGGGTCTTGCCAGACTTTGGGGTCACCCTGGGAGCTTCCATGTTCTGAGAGAGCTTTCATCTGTTCGCGTTTTCTATAGCATATCAAAAGCAAAAGATTGTGTTCCCTTCACCAAGATACAAGTTTGCTGTGGGAAATGGAGATGACGAGGCTTGCTGATCGTGTGTTGGCTCACAGATTTTGGCCAGCTCACTCATTGGGTGTACTTTCTTAACTCTGAAAGGCAAACTTGGGCAGGGGAGAGAACCTGTCAGGAAGACCGAAGGCAGGCAGGTGTAGAGAATGCCGAGTACATCACTCTGCAGGAGAAACTTAATATTACTGAGTTTTGTCAACGCTGGACTTGTTTCAGGAAATCCCAATGGTCTGCAGGCTCTGTGTGTGCCCATGAGGGCTCTGGAGGTGGCCCTCTCCCCGACCCTGTCCCCAGGCCTTACCTGCCACCAAGTTCCTATAGAATTCTGGGATTTGGATGTCTGCACAACAGGCAATATTAACCAAGAACCTTGCACATGAGGACACTCGATGTATAGCATTTATGCAATAGTAGCCTTTAAACTTTGCAAAAAGAAAATGCAATGGTGGTTAATGTATACTCCATCTAAACTAAATATGTCCCTTTCTAAACAGGGATTCTGTTTACTGATATAATGGTTACAGTGCTGAGAATTTGTTCTTTATTCTCTTAGGAAAACAATATCCTAACAAAGAAAATCTTTCCAACGATTTAAAAGCATTAAGCAAAACAAAGAAGCCTGAATTAGTTTGGGCAGGGACTAAAACAGTAAAATGGTTGACAAAAGTTAAAAACATTGGCATATGGACTAGGTTTAGAGAGGCAATTTGATCTTATTTTCAGTTTAGCTTTTAGGAAAGCTTTGCTTTTTCTTGGTTTTTAAATTTTTTTCACCTGCCATTTATTTAGCGTTAATACTATCCTTAATGTATTTGTTGCTTTGAAGGGACCAATGAGGGTGAAAATTAGAAAGGAACTGAGTGTCAATGGCTTATACCTGTAATCCTAGCTACCCTGGAGGCTGAGATCAGAGGATCACAGTTCCAAGCTAGCCCAGACAGGAAAGATAGTGAGACTTTTTTTGGGTCCGGTTAGGGGCCTGAACTCTGGGATTGGGTGCTGTCCCTCTTCAGCTCAAGGCTAGCACTCTACCACTTGAGCCACAGCGCCACTTCCGGCTTTTTTCTTTTTGCTTATATGGTGCTGAGGAATCGAACCCAGGGCCTCATGCATGCAAGGCAAGCACTCTACCACTGAGCCACCTTGCCAGCCCCGATAGTGAGACTCTTATCTCCAGTTAACTACCAAAAAGCCAGCAATAGAGCTGTGGTTCAAGTGGTAAAGTGCCAACCTTGAGGGGGAAAAAAAAACCCTCAGAGACAGCATTCAGGCCTTGAATTCAAGTCCCAGGACTGGCACCAAGAAAAGAAAGAAAAAGAAATATAGTCAAGATAGTATATTTACCAGTAAAGAAATTAAGAATAAGGAGTAAAGGGGAAGGTGGGGGAAGGAAATGACACAAATTAGAATTAAAATCCAAGAAATCCAGAGAAAAGTGACTTATACATATGAATTACTGTTATTATTCCAATTCCAAGGCCTCTGTGTGTGTGTGTGTGTGTGTGTGTGTGTGTGTGTGCGCGCGTGCGCGCGTGTGTGCGTGTGTGTGTTTTAAATCTATCCTGCAAAGGTTTTCCCACAATAATGCTGGAGTGGGATTTGGTGGGTTATTGTTAATTAAAGCTCCTGCGAATCGAGTGATTGAGACATTGTGTTTAGCAATCTGTGCAGTCCTCTGTTTGCAAAGCTGAACTTCCACGACTTTCGGGGCTCAATGGCTTTTTAGAGAAAGTCTGGCATTTTTTTAACCTTTCAGTACAAGAGCACATCCTTTTCTTCCCTTTCCTCCCCAGCATGTACGGCAGGGGGGGGGGGGGGGTGGCTGGCTGGCTAGGCTCATGATTAAATGCAGCAGAAGAGAGTTTTTGCCTTCCAGAGTCAGCTGTGGTCTCAGTAAGGATCCAGAATATTTGTTGGACCATGTAGGCAGGAACTGCCCCTTCTCTTAGCTATCAGTGGGTGTTTTAAGATGTGTTGGGGGCTTGCTTGATGAAGTGATGCTCTGGCTTTTATCTTCACATTCAGGATGTATTCCTCCCCCCTCCCCATTGGACTTAGTTTTAGAGATACAGTTGTGAGGGGAACTTCAGTACATTTGCACAAGGCAGCCTTTGATTATTTAGTTTCTGCTTCAATAACGATTAATTTTATGTGGTCTGAGCTCCCATCAAACTCATTTTTTTTTCCAAACTGATTTCTTAAATGCAATTGGTCATGGGGCTGCCTGTGACTTCGTGTCTGCAGAATCTAACCCCTTGCGATCTGTGGTTGTTTATCTTCTGTGCATGTAAACGAACATTCCTGTGCTGCATGCACCGTTGTTTTATGGGGCCTCCCTCCCAGGATCACGCAGGAATCCAGCCCTGACCTCCTCCCAAATTGAGAACAGCAGGGCCAATGAGCAGGTGCGCTGGAATACAGTGAGCTCAGGTGTAGCACCATCAATCTCCAGGAAGGAGGAATCACAAATACCTGGAAAGGGCTCCCCTAACTCAAACAGTTTTAGCTAGCTGAAGTCTCTCCAAATACCCCATAAATTAAAAAGGGGGTGCAGCTGGCAGGGTGTTTAAACCAAAGACCATGGCATAGTTGTTTCTCTTTATCATTGCACGTCTACAATATATCTGTCCATCTTCTTCTTATCTCTATTTTTGCATTTCATTATCCTCCCCCTCTTTCTCTCACTCCTTTTTCCCCTCCTCCTCTTCCTTTTCCTGGCCTTTCCTGAAAAACACATTTCTATCTGGCACAGAAAATAAACTCAGATTGTGGGTAGTTATGTTAATCTAATTCAATCCTCAGCGGGTTAAGAGTGAAATTCTAATAGTAGAGCTGTTGAGGGCTTTTTTGTTAATGGCTTGGGGATTACATTGAGTTAAAGGCTCATTTCCTAATCAAACAGAGAGGGAGAGAGTGACTCCGAATATTTATGAGTCTCCCAGTGAGAGTTTAAACATTCAACTCCAAAAGCTGGGTTTCTACCAGAGGAAAGAGTTAAAACCCCTCAGGGCTGCTGAGGGAGAAAAAAAAAATTAAACCAGTTAAGCCATCAGCACATGCAGGCTGCTGTATCACTTCTGCTCAGCAATGTGCAAGGCAGGCTGGACCTGGACAGAGTGGGGAATGGGTTCACAAAGCAAAAATGGAAACACACTGCAGTCAGCTAAAGTGTTCAGAAAAAGCTCCTCTTCCACCCCAGAGTAGACTGGGGTCTGCGCTCACCGGTAGACCCTGGGTCTCTGTGCTTTCCATACCCCAAATCAAGACTAGGAGATAAAGGATGGCTTCATTTACCAGTAGCTAGAGAGTTCCCTGCTCTGTCCTGGAAATGGGGAGAATTCTATCCAAAAGCCCTTGTGGTCTCTCATTGGATTTCAGGTGCCTGGTCCTCTAACTCTGCCTCCTTCCTCTAAAGATCTCAACGCACCTCTGGCTCCTGTCCCAGTGAAAGCAGGTGAACACCTCCCAGGTCGAGAGGGAAAGGAACGAGGGAGAGAGGGGAGAGAGGAAGGAAAGGGAGAGAGAAGGGGAGGAGGAGAAAGAAGAGATGGGAGAGAGAAGACACAACTTGGCCAAGGTCAAACAATGTTAAAGCCAAGCCGACCGAGGTCAGGAGTGTAGGCCCAGGTGAGCCTTCTGGCCCTGTCTCTCATCATTCTCTAGAGTCCAGTGGAAGAGAGGGAAAGCTGGAGCCTTGTGGCTGTCAAACAGGCCTGGCTCTCCTGGGATGAGGTGTTCTTTTCCAGCTTGGAAGGAAGAGCAGGGGTCCCTGATGTGGGGACTAGGAGCACTCTGTGGGCACTTGTCCTCTCTTCTGCTTCTCTTGCTTGGCCTTTGCCCCTGCTTCCTGAGTTCTGGGCAGGCAAGCACCAGGCAGATCACTTGCTATCCATCGGCGGCAGAGCTCACAGTGCTATGCTGGCAAGCCCTCCGACTAGAAGGATTTCGAGCTCTAACCTGCTGTGGGAGAGCAGAGGAGGCAGTGGGGCTCTGGACAACATCCCCAGGTCAGGGAAAGGCCAATGCTTTCCTACTCTGTACAAGTCAAGTTTGATCACAGTCTGGGTCCTGGTTCACATTCATTCCCATAAGCACATTAGTCCCTGGGTCTCTCAGTCCCTCCTGCTGCACCCCCTCACAGTCCTGGCTGGAAAGATGGACTTCTCTCCTCCTCCCTCTTGTCAAGACTGCTTGACAAACAAACCCCCAGAGCCAAAGAGACATCATCCGAGTTCCTGTAAGAAATGTCCTCTTGCGAGATGCCTCCACTCCTGAATCCTCAGCGCCTCATGTGTGCCTCCCTGTAAGAACTCACCTTCTGTAAGGCCATGTGTCCTTCTCCTCTATTCTCACTGAGAAGCTCAAAGCAGGGAGAGTGGGATCAC